TCTAGATACGACTGAACTAGGTTATGCGGAGACTGGCTACATGGATGGAGAACCACGGACTCAAAGTTGCAGCAGAGAAGACGGAGATGGTACTATTGACGAGAAAAGAGATAGATACTATCATCTCTCTCAAGGTACAAGAAGAAGAAAAAGTAATTAAGAAGGATGCCGTGAAATTTCTAGGGGTTATGAGGGATAGAGAGCTCACGTTTTGGAGCTAGCTCAGGCAAGCAGCGGACAAGGCAGCAGCAAGAGTAGCAGAATTAAGCTGAATCATGCCCAACGTTAGAGGTCTAAGGCCTGTAAAACGCAGGCTCCTTGTGTCTATGGCCCAGTCCATTATTTTTTATGGGGCTGAGATATGGAAGGATGACATGAATGTCGAAAAGAAGAGAATGAAAATCTCTCACGTTTAATAAATAAGAGCCTTGAGGATAGCCTGCGCCTATTGCACTTTTTCGGAGCTTGCGAGAATGGTGATAATAGTCGTAATCCCCATTGACCTTCATGCTAGGGAACGAAAATTTAAGCATCTCACGGAGCAGGACTTAGAAAGAAAGAAAGCCAAGAAAAACGCTCAGAAAAAAATGAGAACGCTGGCCACATAGATGGCAAGAGGAAACTAGAGGTAAATGACGGCACGCCTGATAAAAGATGTCAAGGAGTGGACTGAGCAAAAACTTGGGAAAGTAGATTATTACCTTATCCAATTTCTCTCAAATCACAGGTGAATACCGTTCGTGAATTCTCGCTCGTACCTCAAAAAGATGTGGAAAGCACAGATGGCTGCTTGCAAGTACTGCGGTTACGACAAAGATAACGCAGAATATTCGTCCTTTGACTGCATCAAGTGGCAAGCCAAACGAAACGTGGTGCAGGAAAGGATCAGAACTTTTAATACCGACAACATCATAAATAAATTGCTACTCAACAAAAAAAGATGGAGTGCAGTAGCCCAATACATACGTACAGTTCTTCGTGCCAAAAGAAAGACGGTTTTCTAGACGACTGAGCAGAGGTGGTGCGAGCCAGAATCCCGTGCCATCGGGGGGGAGCGTGGGGTGGTATTTTGCTGCGATACCAGGGAGTTTAGGGGGGATTGTGGGGTCTTGTGGGTGTGGCCGCCAGGGCAGTGGGTTTGCGGGATGGAGGTCTGCGTGGGTGCTAAATTACGTGCAGACTCTTATAAACTGCTTTGCTGTATTACCTTCCTACCGATGAGCAGCTGCGTATTGGCGGCCCATGCTTTCAGGTGCTCTGCTTCAGCTGCCCTTTATTTATTTTATTATTTTTTTTTTTTTCGGGGCTGGGCCTCTGAGGTGTGGTCGTAGGGCGGTCGGTATGCGGTATATGGGCTTGTGTGGGTGCTTGAATATGAGCAGACTCCTTAGGGCCACTTCGCTATATTACCTTCCTACCAATGAGAGGCTGTGTCTCGGTTGCCTAGGTCTCCACCCCACGGGCTTTGCGGTTGGTGCCCTCCTTGCGCCTTTGTTGGAGGTGGCCAGTTTTGAGGTTGCCCTGGGGAGCATCTGCTTAGTATTTTGCTCCATCCCTCCAAGTAAGTAGAAAAGAGCAGCTTGGATGCATGATGGAAAATAGAAAATACCCTAGAGGACGCAAGAGTTACAAGACGCGCTGGTAACGAAATACTAAAGGAAGCCTGAACCAGGGGCTAAGCCTCCATGGCCGCAGCTTGACGTGTAATTCTGAGAGCAGATTCTGGGCCGGTTGTCTCAGGAAAAAGGTCTTGCCAGTTAAGTTGGTATAGTAATAACAAGTCTCACACAGGGAAGGGTTCGTTCACCCTTCTATCGTGCATAAAGGCATTCCGGACTACCTCGAAAAAAAAGAAAACTATAATCATGATAATAATAACAATAATTATAATGATGAAAATAAGGACAAGGATATTGTTTAAGATACTGATGATAAGAATAACAATAATAATAATAATGATGATAATGATGATAATGATGTTGATAATGATAATGATGACGATGATGATAATAACTATGACAATAATAATGATGATGTTTGAAGTGTTGACAATAATCATAATGCTAATAATGATAATGATGATGTTTGAAGTGTTGACAATAATCATAATGCTAATAATGATAATAATGATTATAAGAATAATAATAACCTAAGTCATGATAACATGAACAAAAATCTTTATGATAATCAGAATAAAGCTAATGATTTTAAAAGTAACGATAAAAATGATAATAAAAAAGTTGAAAATAATGATGATAATGCTCATAATAAGAATGATAATAATAATAGTCATGTAGATTATTTTGCTGACGATGGTAGAAATAATAATGTTAATGATAATTTTAATAATAATTATGATTACAATCATAATAGGAATGATTATCATAATAATGATAATAACAATAATAATATTAATTATAATGATAAAGATAATGATGTTAATAAATATAATGATGATGATGATGATGATGATGATGATGACAATGATAATTATAATGATGATGATGATGATGATGATGATGATGATGATGATGATGGTAATGATGATGATAATTATGATGATGATGTTAATGATGATGATAATAATAATGCTGACGATGTTGATGGTGATTAGTATGACGATAATGTCTTTCAATTTTTTCTAATGAAATTTAACAACATAGAGTTCAATGGCTTTTAGATTTTGATTTAGTAACTTACAAAACATATAGTTTGGGTTTCTGGATTTCTGTTAGCTAGTTTTTTTTAGTAGCTATGCCCTTTATATTAAAGGTGGTTGTATGTCCATGTTGACAAGAAATTGTGCATTAATTTAGTTGATTTTTTTTACTAACCTCTTGTTTCATTGTTCTCTTTAGGGATTTTTTATGTTTTAAGTTTCTTACCTTTTTTTCTTGTCTATTATAATTAGGCCTTATTCATGCTTTGAATTTGGTTTACTATCAGCAGACTTATGGTTATAAAATCTTAACATAAATAATGAATTATATTAAAATTTTTTTTTTTAGGTTCTTTTATCGTACACATTTTTGTGTTCGTATACACGTTTTTTCTTAATTTTAATCATACCGAGGATAACATTCCTATATTTATTGTTAATTGTTACCTTTGTAACACTTACCTGTTTTAACCTGCTAGTATTTTCAAGCGATGTTTTCTTAATTTTAATTTCCTGCTGCGCTACAGTTTTTTTTTTTCGTTACTTTTTGTACTTTGTTTTATGACACTAGCTGTATTTATATAGATTTTACGATAGTGACAGTAGGTAAAGAAAATTACTTTTTTTTTTATATTAGCTAATTCTGCTGCTGGCACCGAAACTTTTATGTAAATTATGATGGCTTTAGGTTGCATGCAAAATGAAAATGTACAAAGATATTTAATTAAAGCATTAGTTAGATCAAGACGAGAAAAAAGCTGATGGAAATCTAAGTGTTAGTGCTTGACCGCTAATATGTAAGTACGTGACAAGAGTGACTTTCTGCAGGTCTTTCTCTTTACTTCAGCTTTCTGGCTTACTATCTTTGTTAACGCTTTGTGGTTCTAATAGTTAAAGCGAAGTTAAATGCATCATGTATATCGTACGTGATATTAAATTAGATTTTTTTCTATTTTTAAAAACAGTTTTTGTGCTGTTTTAATATCTGTTTTGCATTGCAGAGCATCTTTTTTGTACTGCAAAGTAAAATACGTAATAAAAAAATCATGTACTACTATGATCTACAATTATGCTGTCAAACATAAACTGTAAAAAGTATGAGTTAATAGTTACAGTTTAAAAATCTGGTTTTTATTCTGAGAGCGCTAGGGTAAAAACCCTTAGAAAATTTTTATTTTTGGTTAAAAGTGATCAAGTGTAATTTATTAAGTTTGACGTAAGATTTTAAGTTTATTTTATACCAAAAAATGAATTAAAGTTAGTTATACTTCTTACTCTAACAAAATTGGAAAGCACTCTTATACATTCGCCGTGCCTAAAAATGTAGAAATGGCGTTTTTGTTATTTAAAACTGATGAAAAAAGTTAAGAGAAGTTGATTGAAAATATTTCAGATTAAGATTTTGTGGACTTTTAAAAGATTATAACACATGACAGATAGTTAGTATGTGAGGGCACGAGGAAAATTGCGTCAGTGGTCAATAATAGGGCTTTAAGAGTCTATTGTAGATCTAGAAATCGAATTTTGGAGACCAAAACAAAGGGAAAAATAACCTCATTTTTTATTATGTTGTTAGAACATACCATCGCAAGAGGTGTTACATGGTGAAGGACAACTGTGAAGGGCTGCGGGGGGTTACTTGCATCTCTCAATTGGAGCAACTATATAATATATGATGTAATATTGAATTATCATGAATTGATTTTATGTTTATAGTAATCATAAAGTCATGAGAACAATTTAAAACATGTGTGCTGGCTAATGTGATGAAGAATATTTTAAAATAAATATGTTTATATGTAAAAAATCTGAAAATAGTAAAATATTTTAAAATCGATATGAAAAGAAAAATAAACAGTCACTTTAAATTAAAATAAATGAGAGCAGGAAGAAAGGAGGCACTCTAAAAACCACTTTAAAAATATAAATGAGTAGAAATAAAAGTATTATTTAAAAAGTATGTAGTTATTTCTTAAAGATTTATAAGACCATAACATGGATAGACTCGTTTTATATGTAGGGAGGATAGTAAAAAAAATTAAAATTAGTGCTGAGAAAAAAGTAATGAAGTTTAAAAACCAAAAGACTCTTAGGATCATATAAAAAAACAATGGCTTAGTCTAACAGATATTGGCTTGAAAGAATAAAGTAAATGAACAAATAAAGAACAATGAATATCCTAGTTAATAAAAATTTGAATATTTTTTGTTTTTTTTACGCTTGAGTAACTTTAACGTACAATGTGTAGAAAAGTTATTGACACTTATACATATCTGTATAATAAAATTTGATAAAACAGTATTTTGTTGTAAGGTACATACTTAAAACAAACTTTTTGCAGACACTTCGATTTTGACTTGGAAAAGACACTTTATTTCTTTATTGCTGGACGGTATGAGTTTGGAAATAAAGGTGCAGATATATTTATTGAAGCTTTAGCAAGATTAAACCATTATTTAAAAGTTTCAAAGATGGATATAACAGTCACAGCTTTCTTGATTTTTCCAGCTAGAACTAATAATTTTAATGTTGAATCTCTGCGTGGACATGCTGTAAGTGTACTTTACTTGATTATCTAATACTTGCAAATGATATACACTAATTATTCGTTGGCAACTACAATCGCTTAATATTTTTATACATATTGAGTAAATTATAACGGTTTCAACGTTCAAAGCAGTTGCCTAATTATCATTATCACCATGAGTACTCTTGTTTATAATTATAATCATCTTTGCAGTCAACCTTGTAAGATCTTGTGATAGCATGCCCGTAAGCAGCAGCTAACCAACGATCATAGAAGTAAGTTAACTTAAGATAAACTATAAATTGTTAAAACACTGTAAATTTGAACTTGAAAATTTAGAATTCATATCGTTTGTAAGAATTAATTATTTGTGGCTTTACCTAATTTATTAAGTGATCAAATAAGACATAACTGAGTTGTCGATTTTATTTCCTTTTAATATTCAAATATTTTAAGATTGAAAATTCTAACTGATAAAAATAAGATTTTAGTTTTAATTTATAAATGAAGAACAAAATTACAATGTACAGAGAAACGTTTGACAAACACGTTTACAAGGCAGTGAGATGGAAGGATAGATTAAAATACACAACCACTGCGTTACATTACACAGAAATTCATATAGTAGGTCAACGTCATTTCAGCGTATGACACACTAACACCATTTCATGCGTAGTACTCGAGGAAACTCAACACCACAACGCTGAGTCAATGGTTTACAAGGAAACCATGCAAATAAGGCTTTCAGGCCAATGACTGGTTCCTGATGAATGAAAATTAAATTTATTTGTTTGTAAAAGGGATGTATATATTCTTTACTCAGAAGTTCAAACATAATATCGAACTAAAATTTGTTTGTCAGTTATTCCATGCACCCAAAAACTGTTGTTGTATAAATTGTAATACTTCATTGGTTACATTTATAAATAATGCTGATGAGACGAAAATCTTGAACTTACAATACTTTTATTTAAAAATTTTAGTCAATACTTCACCGTGTTGATACGGCCTCTTCAAGGCCTATTATCACTGAGTGTTCGGAATACTTCAGGGGGATGGGGTCACTGATTAAAAACCGAATGACAAATTCACAAATATTTACCCCTTTTATTCTCAAGTTATCATATTTTACGTAAACCTCTTGTACGTAATCAAGTTATATACCACTTTTAAGGGGTCGCACCCATATGCCGTGGACAGCTTTAGAGGGAGGGAGGTTTGGTTGCACCATACGTATGTTTACGCTAAGGTAGGAGGACCAGGCAATAAATTCAACTGTGACAAAATATTTTTTTTAATTCTCAGATATTAGCTTTCAAATCATATGTATCTCGTAGTTAATGTACGAAAATTTTGTACTTTATTCAAAATCGTTTTATTTGGAATCCCATAGTTTTTGTTGATTAAGACTGTCTTCGACAACATTGCTAAAAATGCTTGTACTTAAATTTATACTTATTATGCCTAACATTGCTCCGCTTACTGTTATGCTTCGTTTTAAAAAATTGTCACTGTAACACAGAAAAAACTTTTATTTTAATATTAAAGAGAAATTCATCACAAGATATATTATTTAAAATTTTTTTTCGAAAACGTAGAAAAAAAAATATAAATCAACGTAACTGTAGGACGGAGAAATTTAAATTCTAATGTGCACTAAGTTTACATTGAGAAGGAGGGGTCGAAAAATCGAAAAAATGTCCACGGTATTTGGATATGACCCGTTATTTAGATTTTGATCAAAAAAGGCTACTTGATGGATTACGTCATGAGTAAAACTATTTTATAAAAATTGAATCATAAAAAAAATAAGTATGGAAATGTTAACTAAATTATGAAGTAGCATGGTCGTAAAAAAAGATAATTATTTAATTGGTCTCAGTTTTGTATTTTTAAATTAAATAATAGTGTAAGCTTTATCAACGCACAATTCTCAAAACTATCATTACAAATGGATAATAAAAAAAATAACGTTAAATGTTTCATAAAACTTCTAAACTAAAGACATTTCTGAAATAATGTTCAAACAATATTACTTATAATTAATTAAAAATTTTATACTTATATCATACTAAATATACTTACTTCTTAAATAACGAAATGTTAAATCAGATGAGTAACAAGGGGCCTAACTGCGTTTTTGCATATAAGGTACTACTGATATAAAAGAGCAGTGGTATTGGTATTGGTATTTTGATTTTTACGACTCTTGTCAGCTTGTAACATTTCAGAAACTTTTTTTACTTTCGACTTTTTGCCTTAACTGCACGGTGTGGAAGTATTTCGTGCGGGCCCCTTGTAAAGTTCCCCTCAGACGACTCGGACATCTATCCTATTGGGTACTATTTACAGGGTGCGGCGATTGTCTCAAGCACACCACAGCTTTTATCAAGAATAATGAAAAGATATTTTTCAATAAACCATCTGAGTCAGTGTACTGACCTTATTATTACCAACAGAGACTTTACTTGGTGAGCTGGCCAGGTGTTGGCTTTTCTTTAAAAAGAAAGAATCTGGCGATACACACATGACCAGAAAAATTGACCACTAGTTATAAGAATCGGATGAGTGATTTTTTGGCATCCTGGGTACTGATCTCACAAAAAAGCCCGAGAAAAACATTTCGAAAGTTTTCAACAGGAGTCAAACCCACAACCCCTCGAGTATCTCTGGCTGAAAGGCTAGCATGCTAACCATTAAATCACCCAAGCTCTGATACATAGGAGTATCATATCATATCAGTGGTGTTATTTTTTTAAAGTCGATATTTTTCGCGGCAGGCTTGGTAAAAAAATTCATAGATTTTACGGGACAAAAAGAAGAAAGCCTTAGAACACAATGTACATCGAGTTTTGCTTCACCTCTAACGTCAATTAGATGTATTCTGAACAAGCTAGTAGTTTATAATTTCTTATGAGTTATAGCGTTAATGTTATTTTATAGAGAAAAATATTGGATACAAAAAAGTTATACTTTTTAGATAGTGTCATGTACAGTATAGAACATACTGCATGAGATGGGCCTCAGCTATTATCAGAAAGAAAGAGGACGAATGGAGGAGGAAAGAGCATAAAAAGGCCCGCAGCAATGGCTGCAGAGCTCTAGAATGCAGGGACTAGAAAGAGGATGGTTGCAATAAGTAACTTGGGACTGCCGAGCGCCTTCCCTCAAGGAAATAGAGCAATAAAATGATCGACTAAGTTTAACTGCCATGTTGTTATTGAACACGCTGAGCCTTCAGCATCCCACGTAACAGTTTGGTGTGGATTAGGCTTTGCCATGAAAATAAATTTATTTTTTTTACCTTCATCCATGATTTCTCGGAATTTTTGGGTGACCATTGGGAAGCACACATAGTGCAGTGCAACAACGGGTGCAGAAAATTTAAGGCTATCACCTATATCTGCTGGTGAATAGGAAGGACAAGGGACAAGAACCATTTTCAAAACGACTTATCATAAAGATAACGACTGCTGTTATATTAATGCTCATTATTTCGTTTCTTGTCTTAAAGTAAGTAACAATTCCCTTTATCTTTTCAAATATACGAAATAACTGTCCCTCGGGGCTGTTTTGTAAAGGGATTTACGTACAAAAATATAATAATAAATAAACTAAATACGACTAGTTCTGATCGTTCTAGTAACCAGCAAAATAGAAATATAAAATAGAAAATAAAATAGGAATCTTTTTTATTTTTTNTGATGATGATGATGATGATGATGATGATGATGATGATGATGATGATAATGATGCCTATAATGATAATGGTTATGGTAAGGATAATGAAAATGATAATTATAATAATAATACTTATAATAATTATAATAACAATACTCATGATAATAATAATGTTTGACCACGAAGAAGAAACAGACAACGCAGGGCCTGGTTTAAGTGATATGTTTTTTATGACGTAAAAAGATTCCGATACTATAAAAGTTACGCTTGTACACGACCACGAATCGTCTGCACTCTGAAAAAAGATGGATAAGAAAAATCAAGTCCTAATAATTAGAATGTTTAAAAATATAAAACCAGAAATTTCTTTTAAGGAAATTCCTAATACAAAATTAGCAGAGGCAACAAGCGAAACAGCAGAAATAGAGGTGTTGGAACATGCACTAGAAAAAAATAGTGGTTGACAAAAAACGTGATCAAGTCAATATGGAAAGGATAGAAAAAACGAGTGACAGGAAAAGTATCCTAAAAGACGTAGAACAACATTTTGTCCCATTCTGTGACTGGTCATCTCTGAATTGCAATGACGAAAATTACAACTACTATACGTCAAACAGTAGGACCGATAGGCTAAGGTGCGAATACAAAGAAAATCATCATAACATGTGTACAAATAGAGAGTATCTTTGCCCTTCGTTAGACCGACTAACTTAACCACCGTATACCGATAGATAAACAGTCATACTTCTTACTAAAGATACAAGGTAACATACATATTATTCCTCAGCGTCAAACTATGCAATTTCTTCCTTGTACTAAGGCAACAAACAGATGTACCATTGGCTTCAGGCTCGAATTTTAACGTATTAGGCTACCTGAACAACGCAGTAAATGGTATACCTATACTTAACGGAGACCCTACATGTTTCTCGTTGTTTGAAAAAAAAAATTAAAGCAAGAAAACGATGTCTCCTATCAATACGAAAAGTATTTTATCAGGATTTTAGAAAGCAAGTTAAGAGGGTTAGCAGTAGATCAGTTTGGCATACGTTTATCTTTATTTAATTCTATAGATGACTTTTTGTCGGCCCTTTCCAAAAAATTTGAAAACACAGGAGGAATAGAGAACTTATTGCNCAATACGAAAAGTATTTTATCAGGATTTTAGAAAGCAAGTTAAGAGGGTTAGCAGTAGATCAGTTTGGCATACGTTTATCTTTATTTAATTCTATAGATGACTTTTTGTCGGCCCTTTCCAAAAAATTTGAAAACACAGGAGGAATAGAGAACTTATTGCCTCAATTAAGAACACACATGCAGGGTAATAATAAGTCAGTTATTAATGATTGCAGACGTGTCCAACGGCTTTATAATGGCATTACGATAATACACAAGGCAAGCCACTATATGTCGAGGACCGAGAAATATGTGGCAAAAGTTAAGCCAGATAAAGAGGTCTTAAGACATTTTATTTATGGCTTAAGTATGCCCTACAGCTAGAACATAGCGGGCAGTTGGCCAGTAACATTAGAGAAGCAATTGAAGAGGCTATAACTATAGACAACAAAATTAGCCGCCGCAGAGAAACAATAGGCA